GGAACACCCTAATTAGTCGACCTTCTGTTAGAGAGCGTCGTGTCCATCCCCCCACCCCCCCCCCTCTTTTCCGCCCACAGTGACCATTGCCTTTCCCCGTTTGCCTGAGATCAGATGTGACAGTTGTCTTTTTGTGCTGAGATCAGACAAGGTGCGAAGACAGTATTTCTGAATTGGGATGAAACAAGGTGCGACGACAGTATTTCTGTATTAGGATCAGACAAGGTGCGACGACAGTATTATTGTATTAGGATCAGACAAGGTGTGACGACAGTAGTTCTGTAATAGGATCAGACAAGGTGTGACGACAGTAGTTCTGTATTAGGATCAGACAAGGTGTGACAACAGTATTTCTGAATTAGGATGAAACAAGGTACGACGACAGTATTTCTGAATTAGGATGAGACAAGGTGCGACGACAGTATTATTGTATTAGGATCAGACAAGGTGCGACGACAGTATTTCTGTGTTAGGATGAGACAAGGTGCGACGACAGTATTTCTGTGTTAGGATGAGACAAGGTGTGGCGACAGTATTTCTGCATTAGGATGAGACAAGGTGCGACGACAGAATTTCTGTATTAGGATGAGACAAGGTGCGACGACAGTATTTCTGTGTTAGGATGAGACAAGGTGCGACGACAGTATTTCTGCATTAGGATGAGACAAGGTGCGACGACAGTATTTCTGTATTAGGATGAAACAAGGTACGACGACAGTATTTCTGTATTAGGATTAGACAAGGTGCGACGACAGTATTATTGTTTTAGGATCAGACAAGGTGTGACGACAGTATTTCTGAATTAGGATGAGACAAGGTGCGACGACAGTATTATTGTATTAGGATTAGACAAGGTGTGACGAAAGTAGTTTTGTATTAGGATGAGACAAGGTGCGACGACAGTATTTCTGAATTAGGATGAGACAAGGTGCGACGACAGTATTATTGTATTAGGGTCAGACAAGGTGTGACGACAGTAGTTCTGTATTAGGATAAGACAAAGTGCGACGACAGTATTTCTGAATTAGGATGAGACAAGGTGCGACGACCGTATTTCTGTATTAGGATCAGACAACTTGGGGCCGTAATTAAGATGTGACAGCATCATACAAGATGTGACCATACTCCTTCTGTTTTATAGTAAGACACAACAGGCAAATGATCAAATTAATGGAAAAGGGTGGGGGTGTGGTGGGGAGGGGGGCGGGGGGTAGTCTTGATAAATTAGATACTACTTTTTCTGCTACTGATGCTGCTACTTCTCATTTACTTCCCTTTTCTCTTCTTTCTCTCTTCACCCTTTTCTTCTTTGTCCTCCTCCTACTCTTCCGGTTTCAATTCCTCCCCGTCTTTCCCTTAATTGAATTCAAATTTTTCTCTTTACCCCTCATGGTCTTCCGCGTTCTCCTTCCGAATCCCCTTTTCTTCCTTTGCTTCTTCTGCCACTTTTGCCGTTTTGTTTTCCGTTTCTTCTGCCTCTTCCCTCTCTTCTTCGTTCTCTTCCTCTTCTTCTTCTTTCTCTCCTTCTTCTTCCTCTTCTTCTTCTTCGTCTTCATCTTCGTCTTATTCTTTGTCTTCTTCTTCGGCTTCTTCTCCCTCTTCTCCTTCGGCTTCTCCTTCGTCTTCTTCTTCGTCTTCTTCTTCAGAATTTTCTGAGATATTTTTCGCAGCCTATTTCATGACCAAAAGTTTCTCTACCGTGGGCTAAGGCTCCTTGCGAGTTGTTTAAAGTGTTCAGTGAGTCTGACCTATCTATATTTAATGTTTAAGCTTGAAAATAAATCGAAGTCATTCTGTATTTCTCTCAGTCTTTGGTGGCACTTCTTTTGCCTGTCCAGGTTTCTGCGACTTCAGGTGTCTACCACGGGGTGTGTTGAAAGGTAGCTTTCTTCTTTCGCGATGTTCTGCGTGACCCGTCTCGCAGATGCCCAGTTACGTCAGGCTGATGTGCAGCATACTGGAAAAATCCAGCATGGATGTTGGCTTCCATGATGTCCCAGTACGCCCCACTGGCAGACTGCACTCATGTTGGGAGAGACCAGAGTGAGATCGAGGGTTCTGTTCGTATCACCTTCTCTGTCGGAGATTCTGGTGTGTCTGCCATCATTCAAACAGATTAAATCCGTATATGTTGGTGCTTCCTCCAATGCCTCACCCTGTTTCTTGATAGTCGTATTGTCCCATAGCCAATCTTTGGCGTTGAAGTCACCACTCATGATGTCGGTAATTATCTGCTCGCTCATGCCCCTTAACATTGCACACCCCCCCCCCATTTTGGGGTCATCTTTATTATTGTAGGCATAGATGTTAATTAAAGTAAAAGGTTCTGGTTCTGTCTGACTTCACCGCCTGCATCTGAATTTCGCTGTTGTTCCATACACTTGTGTCTACAATTGCGGCTTTTATTCCGCACCTGGCTAGAATTGCCTCGCCTAGGTGTTTGATGTTGTAGTATGTTTGGAAGCCTGAGACATTCAGAGCTTAGTGAGTATTCAGCCTGGTCTCCTGAAGTGCAGCTACATCAGCATCATATATCAGTTTCTCCGAAACTGGGCTTCTCTGTCGAACGGTCAGGCACTATTAGCATAGAATGTGGAGATTGCTCTTGACAAGGCGTTCTGATTTACATTGGCTTTTGCATGCACCAGCAAGTTTATTGCGCCGTCTCCTACCATACTTCTGTACTTTGTAAATGCTGCTGCATCAGATCTCAACGCGGAAGCACGAACTGCGTAGCTCCGGCTAGGATCGAGCTGATCAAAATTGGTTACTATCTTTAATTAATACAGTATGTACGGCCAGCCCAGTGGTACCCTGGTGCTGAGGCAGGGGCCAGGTAAATAACGCCTATCAAAAAGGTGTCGCCCCCTTTCGACCTCGTTGTCTTAGTAACGATTGTGCATCTCACATGGAGACACATTAAACTTCGGTTCTGGACTACCGACTCCCTACATGCCGACACCCGTATGTTACTGGTGTACAAAAGTTATAATGTTTATGTTGTTTAACATTAGGCTTATGTTTCATCATGAATTTATACATAAAGTACTATTTTCATGCATATATGCAAACATACACGTATGAACACTAGTAATAATTGTGACAACAATAATAGATAATAAACAGCTCACAGTTACTCCTGCATCAAAGTGGTGGTGGAGGGGGAGCACACGTACAAGAGAGAGAGAGAGAGAGAGAGATAAAGAGTAGGAGAAGAAGAGAGATATCACTAAATGACTAATTCCTCCAGAGGAAATATGTTCATCAATGCTCGTATGTAGTAATCTACAACTATTTGGTGTAGGACATCAGCTGTCAATGTTTACATCTTTGAAGCCCCGAACAGATAACATCTCGTACAGACAACTGAAGACAAAACTCAAAATGTGTTGAAATGTTAAAAGCTCCACTCTCCAATCCTCAAATTGCCAGGTCGTTATCCGCGTATTGCTCCTGGGTATCCACAAAGCAAACTAGTATGGTGTGACCTCGCACTACCTGTACCTACCTCATGTCACAGTAGTTTAATGTCATACCTCTGCTGATTGTAGCAGAAAAGGAAATCCAGAGGCACGGGATTTGAAGTCGTCTAGAAAAAAGCAACCAGGAGGAATGATTCATATAGTTTCTTTAGAATGGAACAGCCGTGTCTCATAGATGTCTCGAAAATGAGCTCGTTCACCTTATGGCCTCTGTAATGTCTTTAGACCAGTTTCATGTAACAAGCAATCAGTGGTGTAAGGTTTATTGTTGCTCTCTCTCTCTCTCTCTCTCTCTCTCTCTCTCTCTCTCTCTCTCTCTCTCTCTCTCTCTCTCTCTCTCTCTCACTGGTTGTAGCAGACACTGGTAACAGCCTTAAGCCGCCGCTGGAAACACAGTGTGTATAAAGAATGGTTCACGTAGTGCCCCCCCCCCCTCTCTCTCTCTCTCTCTCCCCGAGAATGGGATAGTCCAGACTCAGATGGCTTAGTTGTGAATCCAGCTGCTAGCGTTGTTGAAACCGCAGTTTGAGTCCTGTCGATGTCCCCAGTGATCTGTTTGTGTAGTATGACGACAATGGTGGTCTCACTGTAAGCCAGTTTTCAGGGTATTAATGAAGAAGAAGCAGAAGAAGAAGAAGCAGAAGAAGAAGAAGAAGAAGAAGAAGAAGAAGAAGAAGAAGAAGAAGAAGAAGAAGAAGAAGAAGAAGAAGAAGAAGAAGAAAAGTAAGAAGAAGAAGAGGAGCAACAAGAACAAGAACAACAACAACAAACACAAGAAGAAGAAGAAGAAGAAGAAGAAGAAGAAGCAGAAGAAGAAGAAGAAGAAGAAGAAGAAGAAGAAGAAGAAGAAAAGTAAGAAGAAGAAGAGGAGCAACAAGAACAAGAACAACAACAACAAACACAAGAAGAAGAAGAAGAGGAAGAAGAAGAAGAAGAAGAAGAAGAAGAAGAAGAAGAAGAAGAAGAAGAAGAAGAAGAAGAAGAAGAAGAAGAAGAAGAAGAAGAAAAAGAAGAAGGAAACAGAAGAAAAAGAGGAGGAAGAAAAAGCAGAAGTAGCTGCAGCAGTAGCAGCGAGAAACAACAAAAGTAGCAGCAGCAGAAACAACAAAAGAGAAATAAACTGCCCAACATAATATATAGTTTTGCTTCATTCATGTTTATGGTATCAACCATATATATATATATATAGTCTCGCCTGCTACTGACATCTCAAGAGTATACTAAGAGAGACAACTCGTTGAAATTTTTAAAAAGTCGTGCATTGTTGCTGGTAATGTTCCTTTAGAACAGAGGTTTCCAACCCAAAAAAAGGGGGAAAAGGGGGGGGGGGGCGTTGCGCACGGAGGTTTCAATAGGGGTGTAGCTGAAACCTGCAAAACGATGAACTAACCAATTACCCAAGCTTTCTGAAGAGCACAAGATAAAAACAGAAAAGCACGACAACTGGCTACAACCTGATATCAGTGAGACCACAAAAGAAGAAGAAGAGGAACGATGTTGCTCACAAAATCCACTCACCACATGGTTGCCAATTTCGGCTTCCGAGGCGTCAGCCTTCTCCGTCATCAGGGCATAGGCACTGAGTCTCATTTTGTGATTGCATAAAGTGCCTGGTGTTGAGATAACGCTAGTGCGCTGAGATGCTGCCACAGCAGGAACATCCAGAGACACAACGCTGTGAGACGGTGAGACTTTGTCCGTGTGTTCTTGTATTGATAATGTGTTCATAGGTGAGCAGTTACGTTCTGATTTGGCTTCAGACATTGTAATTTCTTCCACATGAGTCTCCGCCAAAACTGTTTCATTTTGTGATTCGTGAGAAGCTGTAATGTCGTTTGGAGGTCCCCCGGCTGACACAGGTGCACTTTTAGGGATAACAGTGTGAACACTCGACAAAGTGTTCATAAACCTGGTAGCAGCAGCATAAAAAATTGCGGGTGCTTTTCGTTCATTTGAATTATCAGAAAATGCATCTTTATCTGGTAGAATAACCCGGGTTAACTTTCGCCACCTGTCACTAATAGAAGTGGGCGTTGAAGATACGTCTGACTGATTAGATCGAAACTGTTGATATTTATTCCCCCTTCCCAAGAGAGATGATATACTGTCTGAAATAGATGTTTTTGTCGTAACGCAGCTATCCTTCAACGTCGACGTGGAACTAGATCCGTCAATTAAATCTACTTTGGAAACACTTTTAGGAGAGCCACTCTTATTTAAAATGCTGCTAGAAGAGTTGCCTGGGCTTATAACAATGTTATTTTTGATTTCTGCGTTTGGATATACAGTGTCCAACTCCGGATTTCCCTCTCGTTCCAACTTAGCTCGTTGTTTATTAGAAATTGAGGTTTCTTTCCTTCCACTACGTAAATCTTGTTTGTGGTGTTCTGTACTATCAGCTGCAGGGGAGCGATCTACATAAAGTTCGTCGTTTGTAGACGCAACTTTCAAGCTGGAAGCCACTTCTTTGGGCTGAGCTAAGGTGAGACCATTATGACTGCTACTAGATCTATGCGGCCGTGTCTGCTGTCTGTCCTCCCGAGACCTGTGATTTGTGTCCTGCGATTTAGTCGAGGGTGAAACATCCATCTGCAACTTATACTGGGAGTCCTCCCTCCGAGGGGACGAAGAAGAGGAAGCAAAGCCTGTGTTGCCATTTGATCGGGAGGAAGACGAGCGACGACTATAGGTAACATCTTGTTTGTAAGAGGAAGCATTGCTTTCTTCATGTTTGTTGATTGTAGATGTTGATCTTCGGCTGTTCGAATTCGTAGTCCTTGAACGACCAGCAGATTCTGTTTCCTTTTGATTGTTTTCACATCCAATGCCATTTGTAAGGGACCGACTGACATGACTGTCAGCCACTGACTTTCCTGACTCCAATGGTCGCACAATGTGACGCTGGCGTTCTCCAAACATGTTTAGACCCGTACCATCTATTGATTGTGTATGTGCATGACTATGCCCACCAACATCGCTGGTAATTTCATTGTGTTTAGCCGTTGGGTAGGTATTTTTGTGCGAGTTTGTTGCAGCCAGGCTGTGCTCAGTTAGGCTTTTTTGCTTTTGTTTACTAACATCGCCAGAGTTTCGTCGGTCAGACAATGTGAATAAACTTCCTTCTTCTCTTTCAAGTTTCTCTTTAGAAGAACGAAATGAGGCATGATTTTTATTGTGGGATGGATTTGATCCCTTATTTTGCGTTTCACGATTGTGGCCTTCGTTTCTTGTTGCAGAACTACTTCTCTTTGTTGCAGATTGTTCATGTCTATTGACTCCGTAATTGTCTCCTATTTCATTTCCTTCTATAGGATGTTGACTGCTAGATCTATCAACACTCGCTTGTCGATGTCTGTGTGGCTTTTCTTTCTTGTATTCATCAGACAAGTCGTTGTTGCTGGACCGAAAAAATGCACGTCCATCATCTTCATGAATGTTTTCTTTCTTCACATGTCTTGCATCCAATGTATCGCTTCTATGATTGAGGTTGTTGTTTATCTTGGTGTGTTTGTTCAATGGATAACTAGCATACTGTTGATCCGAATCTACTTTAACAGACTCTGGTGTACTATACTGAGAACTATTTCTCCGCAAATCGTGCTGATGCGGATGATTCTCTTTTCTCCCGTTACGTTCAACAGAGTGGTTGCTGTGATAATGATGCTCGCTTTTTGGCATTCCTCTGTCCTTACTGCGAGAGTGCCTCTGTAAACTGCTTGTATGTAATTGGTCATTGTCTGTACTCCTTTGCAAAGAATCGTAATTGTCATAGTTGCGAAGGCTTAATCCGTGGTCCGCTCTGGATTTTGATGTGTCGGCCTTTCCATGTAATAACACACCAACGTCATTATCTAGTCTCTCCGTGACACTAGTTCCATGGACACGGACATCCCTTCGCTCTGTTTTGCCTAACTTTGTCGATGATGGAAGAGTGGCATAACCGGGCCGATCTAATGTATGATTAGATCGAAGGCTGGTGTATTTATTAGCTGGATCAGTAACGTACTGTTCATAGCGCCTTGCTGAGGATTTTTTAGAACTGTCATTCATTCGACAGCTAACATTTTCATCGTAATTATTTAATGAACGTCTTCGAGATGGGTGGCTGCGATCTTTTATGTCGTCTTCATGGTGTTTTGAAGAACGACTTCGAGATGAATCGTTAGAGTGATCTGTGTAGCCGTCCTCATATTGTCGGGAATGACGCCTTTGGGATTTTTCAGTCGAATGATCCCTGACACTGTTTTCATAATGTCTTGAAGAACGTCTTTGATGTGTATCCTTTGAATAGTCAGTGAAACTGCCTTCGTAGTGTCTCGAAGATCGTCTTCGAGACGATTCTGTGGAATGGTCTGTTATAATGTCTTTATCATGCCTTGAGGAGCGTCGTTGATATGTACTGCTAGAATGATCAGAAATATCGTCATTGTATTCCCTTGGAGAGTCTCTCTGAGATAAATTATGTGTCCTTCCAGCTTTATTGTCTGTATACTGTCTAGAAGACTGTATTTTAGCGGAACCGTTAGAATGATCAACAACACCATTTTCATAATGTTTTGAAGAATATCTTCTTGGCAATGTATAATTAAGAGCCTTGGAATCATTTTCAGAAGACTGCGAGGTGCGTCTTCTAGTTAAATCGTTGTTAGGAACACTAGTATGCATTCTGTGACCTGAGTTGCTTTCGATGTACTCTTTTACATCGCGTTTATAATTATCAGGAATAGTTTCGATCTGGGATAGATTAGAGAACCGTCTGGTAGAGTTTGTCTCTGTGGGAAGAGTTGACACATCTCTCTTCTGGTTAGACCTGGCGATACTCCTGCCGTTGCTCTTGGGAACTAAGTCTGTTTCCTTGGAGGAAGGGTACTGTTTGTTGGTAGACTGGTGCTGGTCCATTTGGCTGTCAATCATTACATACCCACCATAAGGTCGCGCTGTCATTATTGCTCTATTTCCTCAGTGACTTGACTTATAATACACCCAGGCATACTGGGAAGCTGATCAAGGAGTCTCGAGTGATGTAAATGGCACTTTGTAGACGGATTCTGTAATTAGTAAACATATTGAAATGTTACTACGAAATGCATTTATAAATAATTTGTGATTAAACTTTCTTGAACTTTGGCTGTCATAGAGACAAAGATTGAAGCAACTATAATTAAAACATCCTTACCCGCATAGGACTGTAAGTTATGCAAGTCTAATGTGTCCATGACGGGTGCCCGAATTATAACTTTCCCGGAGGTTGAAATGGGTAGCAAAGCTTGCCTTGTGGGTTTGCCACCAGAACTGAGACATTTCCAGTCTTACGTTATTAAACCTTCAGGTCCAGTCGGTCTGCAATTCTGATTGAGATTTCCTAATCTTAAAGTGTGAAACTTTTCGGATAACAACCTGGAAAGTATGTACTGCACGCATGCATATCATGAACAAGGGGGCCAATCTTTCATCTAAATGGTTAAGAACTGGACAGAAAAGCTTTGAGTGAACCTTCCATTTAAATGGCTAGGAAATGGACAGAACAGCTCTGGGTGAATCTTCCATTCAAATGGTTCGGAACTGGACAGAAAAACTCCGGGCGAACCGTCCATCCAAATGGTTAAGAACTAGACAAAAAAAAAAAAAAAAAAGTCTGGGCGAACCTTCCATCCAAATGGTTAAGAACTGGACAGAAGAGGTCTGGGCAAACCTTCCATCCAAATGGTTAGGAACTGGACAGAAAAGCTCGTCAAACATTCTGCTGTATCTCTAACTTTTCCTACTTTTTTTCCTACTAATAGATTCATTTCAAAACGACAAACCCCCTGTAGGGAGCCTCCGTTGTGTAGCGGCTATACACTCCCTGCAGATCGGAAGGTCGCGGAAACTGAGCTATGTTGATCATAGACAAAGTCCCGGACAACCAAGAATACAGCAAAAATACATACACAAAATTAGGTTGGAGATCTTATCTCCCCTCTTACTCTTTCCCAGTGTATAGTTACTTTCTTTAAGTATTCCCCTATACACGTCATGTTACTTTACATATATTATTATATTTCTGTGTCACTAAGTATTAATATTACGCCAGTAAATATGGCATAGGTCACTTGAGGGGCCCCCGCCGAGGCCCTGTCCCACATGTTCTTTTTGTTTCGGCGTCCCTACTCCTTTCATCACGTAGCATATTTAATACATATACATACATATTTAAATATGTAATGAACAAATTTGTACTTTCTAGAGTTTTTTTTTTTTTAATTTAGCAGTCGCGAAGAAATGGAAGATGCAGAATTTCAGGAACCAGTTATAAACAAGTCAGTGTATACTTTTCCTAATAAACAGCAGTAAGATTGGCCCGTGCTCTTTCAACTGTAAAATGTGTGGAGAATTCACAGAATTTAATGGAACTGTTGGCATTATTTGTTTATGACAATTTCAAAAACCTCTAATGGAATACGAAAACAGCGCAGCCCAGCGACCAGATCTTGTCAATAACACGGAATTGATTTTTGGACTTCACAATTCCCATTGAGGAATGCCAGCTTGCTTCAGATAAAACGTTTCCGGCCATTCAATGAAAACATTCCTACGTAGATTTTTTTCCTGCTTCTGTTTTTAAATTCCGTCTCTCCAACACGTGTCGGTATTTTCCTGTCTCTGATATAAATTCCGGCTATCTAATATCTGTCTGAGTTTTTCTAATCTCTCTCTCTCTCTCTCTCTCTCTCTCTCTCTCTCTCTCTCTCTCTCTCTCTCTCTCTCTCTCTCTCTCTCTCTCTCTCTCTCTCTCTTGTACCCTTTATTCTGAACGTAACAAAGGATCTCAGCAACTCTGGCTCGCCAAATCGTCCTATCCTTCGCTCTGGCAAGCAACTCACTCAGGTCCTTCCTATTTTTTAAACTTCCTTTTTTAGACCATTGGCTCTCAACCTTCCTAATGCGGCGACCCTTTAATACAGTTCCCTTATGTTGGGGCGAACCCCAAACAGTTATTGTCCTTCATAACTCCAATGAATTTGTGTTTTCCATTGGTCTTAGGCGACCCCTGTGAAAGATTCGTTTGACACAAAAAAGGGTATCGACCGGCAGGTTGAGAACCGTTGATCTAGACCCTCCCCCATCCCCCACCCACATATGTTTTAGTTTCCCTTAATTTATATAGACCTGTAGGTTCCAGAGTATAGACTCTTCTAGTTTAACTATTCTCAGGCTTTTTCACTATATGTCCCAGGAACGCTAGCTTCGTTTCTTTACTACTTGATTCAATTGCATATATGAGGTTTCGCGACTGTTTTTAATTACGGATCTCCAGCGCGTGACTTTGTTTTCCTGTCGCTGATGTTTGTTTCCGCTGTATAATAACTGCTTGCCTTATTCGGCTACTTCAGTTAACTCTCTCTCTCTCTCTCTCTCTCTCTCTCTCTCTCTCTCTCTCTCTCTCTCCAGTACCTCAGTTTTCTGCCACTGACTCCTCTGTGATCACTCTTAAACCGGCGGTTGCACGATGTGTTTTAGTTAACAGCTAGGTTGCTATATATTTTGGTTCAACATCCGAACTTTGAAAACTCCTCTATAGTAGTCTTTTAGGACATGCTTGATAGGGCAGTTGCAGTATTCGCCAAATGGGATTCCGGAACCAGGAAAAGCAAATGCTGGTCAAGCCGTTTGCCTTACGCTTGTAAGGTCATGTGTTCGTTTTACAGCTACGTCCTTTAGTTTACGGGTGCACTTTTTAAGGAGATTTCCGGTGATCGTCGCCGGAGCTACGGAGTTCGTGCTCTGTGCAGCGCTTTCCACAGGGGGCTTCCGTTGTGTGGAGAGAGACAGGGGAATATGGGATAACACCCGGTTCAATGAAGTTGATCTTCTCGACTTTAATTTTTTTTTCTTCTTTTTTTTTTTTCAACTTTTCAGTAAAAATTTTTTTACGTTTTCCCCCTCTGGGATAGTTGTCTGAAGAATTAAAGTCTCAAGGATAAGAATCAAACAGATACAAACCCGGAAATGCGCTCAGTCGTATAGCCATATAGCAAAGCTATACTGGGACGCTGCAACATGGTCACGAAATAACCGGTTGCCCAGTGTAGGTGGGTGTGTGCAATAGTGTCGTCAAATAACTTGCCCTGCTTTTAGCGCTGTCGGCTCTGTGGCTAAGTCGATGTGAACGCTTTGTAATGCCGGGGTGCCGGGTTCGATCCCAGCTGCGGGAGATGCGCCTTGCGTTGGTTTCAACAGTGGTATCAGAGGGCCGACCGTCCAGGAGGAATGACAAACTGCTGGACGTAAATTTGCCTAGAGAAACCACACAACAGCCAGGGGCTGCTGGGGTTGGTTTTGCAAAGTCCTGTAAAGTATTCGCAACTAACCTACTGCTTTTTGCCCTTGCCGTTGCGGATAGCTTTCTATATCCAACCCCTCCCCCCAACCCCCCGGTGTTTCCTGCCGTTGCTGTTAATTACCACAGTCCAACAACTTTCTGCGGTTTCTGCTGCCTCTGTACATTCTCTGTTTCTAACAAGTGTGCATTTTTCTGCCTCTGGCGTTAATTATCTCTTTTTCAACACCCTTCGGGGAGGCGTGGTCTCGAGGCATGGCTTTCGCCTCAAGTGCCGATGTCCCGGGTTTAAATTCCGGTGACGGCTAGGATTTTTTTTTTCCACGTGGACTTCTAGTAATTTCCTCTGGTCTCTGGGTAGAAAGATCGGACGCCTAACGGCACTGTCCGGGAAAAATTAGGAGTTAACAATCTACCCAAAGTATTTCAGGATCCTCGCCGGTGCTACGGAGTTCGTGCACTGCGCTGAGATTCTACGGACTCAGGCTTGAGTAGAACGGAGCACTTATGGTCTACTTCCCTTGTGCCATGATGTTGATCCCCCAAAAATACTCTTCTCAATTTCTTTGTAGTCGTAGTTAATTCTCTTTCCTTACTGTTTGTGTGTAATTTCCCCCCGAAGCTGTTATTAATTGTCTTTCCAGAACATCTTATTATAGTTTGGTTCTCTTGAGTTGTTATTAAATTTTTCTCTCCAACATTGGGTTATGTTTATTTGTTCTGTGCAGCTGTGAAAGGCCCCTTTCCAAAACTGGCCTGTGATTACCCCACCCCGCCCCTTTTTGTAGCTAATTTCTATTCACCATCTCCATCTTTTTTTTTCTACAGCTGGTGTTTAATCATTATCTGCAACTAATGTCCATTTACTGTCTCCAACATTTGTCTACTTATTTGGCAACTGATGTTAATTCACAATCTCCAATATGTGTGTACCTTTTCTTCAGCCGCTGATAATTTACCATCTCCAAAATCTGTCTACTTTTTCTGCAGCTGATGTTAATTAATCATCTTTATAATTGGTAAACTTTCTCTACAGCTGCTTTTAATTTACCATCTCCAATATTTGTCTACTTTCTCTGCAGCCGATGTTAATTTGCCAACTCTAACATTTGTCCACCTTTTTTTGTGTGCAGCTGATATCAATTTACCATCTCCGACATGTATCTACTCTTTTGCATACGATATTTCTCCACTTTTCACATTCTTTGGGCATGTGATAATTAACTCTTTTAATAACAAATTAATTACCTTAAAAACTAACAGCAATTTAGTAAAATTAATAAAGTCATTCTTGTCTGATCGACGACAAGTAGTAAATGACTGTACTATATACACTAATCATGAG